GGGCGCCAGGGGGGTCACGCAAAGTTTGAAGGAAAGGGGAATTTTTTTCTCTTTTTAAAGTTACCTTTTTTTTTTTAGATGTTATTAATAACTGCATATCTATCAATCTATGTGTCCTTTGATGCCAATCTTTTAATATTTTTTTTTTAATTAATATTTTATTTTATTGTTTTTAAATCACACAACCGCCCTTCAAGCCAATCAGAATCGACCTGCCGCTACTGAGAGGGAAACTGAGTATCTGCTCAGCTTTTGGAGCAAGTGAGAGCTAGTGAATATTTCGCTCTGCAGCTGGATGAGAGCACGGATGTAGCAAATATTGTTGTTTATATATATGAATATAAATATGTTTATTGTTAATATTACTGTTGAATATTATATATAAATAGCTTTCAAATTATATAATATATATATATAATATTATAAAGACAGAAATCACTTTAAAAATGCTTTAAAAATATGTTTACTGTTGATATTACTGTTTAATATTGTGTTAAGAATGTTTATAACAGAAGACACAATCAATGTAATTAATGACAAACAAAAGATAAATACAAAACATTTTTTGAAGAATAACTGATTATTAATTATTAATACAAATATGTATTAAGCTGTATAATTAATTTGTCATATTTTCCATTATAATGTACTCATCATAAAAAATTTTTTTTGCAACAAGGGGGGTCCCCGCCAGAGGACAATGCTATATGGGGGTCCTTAGCATGGCAAAGTTTGGGAACCCCTGGTGTAAGGGATGAGTGTGATTCATGCAAGAGCTGCTCCCAATACCGTCTTTATATCAGAGTTTACTGCTCAAGATGGGGGGGGCAAAAGCTTCAAGAACAAGGACACGTGCTGTGTTGAAGTGTGCCTTACTTAAAACCAAACCATGTCTTCACTGAGCTGTGCAAAATTCAAATGGAAACAAGAAATGAGGTGAACTTTGGGAAATGTGATGAGTGTTGGTGTATTTTACTTGTTTGCTGCATAAGTTACCTGGTATCATAGGTATCAGAGTTACGGTTAAACTTGTAGGTGGGTTTGAAATTCAATGGCCCTTCCTCAAATTCCTGGAGGAAAGGTTCATTTTTCTTCATCATAGTAAGCTGCAAGAACATGAAGATAATTAGTAAGCGTGCAATACTTAATGTGTGTATGTGTGTGTGTGACTATCACTAAACATTACCTGGTCTTTGCTCCACAGCAAATTTAGACGCTCGCTGTTGATGGACGAGCGCAGGAAGTGCAAGCCATGATCTGCAATACGGAAGTTCAGGTCCCCAAACCAGAACACCACCCTGCGTGAGATAGATAGAGACTCATTATACTATAATTAACAACCCTCAGAGCATATCCCATTGGTTGTGTGTGATGTACAGTCTATGTACAATAGTACTGACTTGTGATCCCGGACATGTGGGGTGTCAGTGATGTCAAAGTCTTGCTTCTCCAGGATGTGCTCGATCTCATCAACGCGCTGCAGAGCGTAGTTCATGTGAGCCGCCAGGTGGCAGTTAAGGAAACACACCATGTGGCCGTAGAAGGAGAAACGCACCGACACTCCTCCTTTGTTACCCTGACACAGACAAACAGGGATGAATTACATAATGTGTAGTAAAGGATTTGTATGGATTTACAAATACTTGCAAAATAAGTTTGATGAAATGAACCTGCAGAATACTACAGGTTTGGCCTCTCCTCAACCAGATTATGTGTTTTCCCTTTAACACAGATTAAACCATTTGTCTTTCAAGTATTTTCCAACACAACAACTAGTGTGCCACACTAGTTGTTGTGTTCTTTGTTTGTGCTTTCATTCACTCTAAACTGGTGCACATCTCACTAAACAAACACAATAGGCCTTTCATAAAACTTATGTAACGCCATTGGGATTTCCAAATATTTCCTTTTTTTCTTTGTCGACACTTGTTCAACGTCTTGAACCTAAGTGTTGGGTGTATAAGTACTCTCCACCAACTCACCCAGTAGCCAAAGATGCCAGTGCGGGTGTAGGTGGTCTGGATGTTTCTGATGAAGGGGAGATGCATTTGTTTGGCAAAAACCAGCAGCAGCAAACCCTGCATCCTCACTGATGTGACCTATAAACAGAGATGGAGAAAGATTTCATTAATGTTCTTCTAAAGTCAATTTGTTCAATGTCTTTCCTATTTTTTTTATATTCCTATTAAAGTTATGCATAATATATGGTACAACTTTAATTGTATGACATTTTTTAAATATACAGCTTTAAGAAAAATAATTGGTATTAAAGGTCAAATCAAATACTGCCAGTCTCACACTTATACTCATTTATTAATCAGGACGGAAATGGGTCATTTCTGTTTCTACCAGTCAACACAGTATTTCCCCTTTACTCCTCATGTCCTCTCCCACCTTCACAAAGCCTCTGGGGGCCAGTGTCTCCATGAAGACGTGGCTCCAGGAGTCCTCCACTAACAGGTCAGAGATGAACCTCACAGGGGTGGCGTTCACCTCCTGCAGGCTGACACACACCAACACAAAGAAATGAGGCAAGCAATATTTCTCTCTTTTAAATACATTTACTTTAAATAAATAAATACTTGCTTCATGCTTCAGTCCAATTCCTGGCAAAGTGTTACATTTCAGCTTCCATATTGTTATTTCTTACCCAATCACATAGATGTCTGTGGGGGGCTGGACGTCCAGCTGCATCAGAGAGGCGACGTCTTCAGGGGGCTCGGCTGTGGCCACGTTCCAGGTCACCATGTGCAGCCTGTCAGAGCGTTTGATCAAGGCAATAATTGACCCAAGTCAAAGAAAAACAAGAGAAAGAATTAAAACCTTATCATGAAAAATTTTCTCGTAGTAAATACACTAACATCAGAGGTATCAACTGCACAATTATTACTACAGATAATAGTATTGGGTCCTGGCCAATAAATAATTTTAACAGCGTGTGGCATCCAACAGTTTGTTTTTGTCCTCAATAAAGGTGAAATATATACTTTTTCAATATATAAATTGTCTTTAATCTCATAATTGGAAACCAACAAAAAGAGAAACAGAAATCCATATGATCTCAAGCTCTTCCTGCCTCTGTAAACTTGAGTATGCGTGAATAAGTCATTGCGCATGTCCACCTGAATGCGTCTGTGGGAACGTAGCCCCCACAGAGGTGAAAGGCTTCGTCCAGCGTGCGGGACACTTCTTCCCCGGCCTCGTCGTCAGAGCTCATGTTCTCTACGCAGGTCAGCAGATGAGTCAGACGCTGGCGGAGGACAACCTTGGACCTCTGAGACGTTCTGGAGCTCTGAGACGCTGAGCTGCTCATGCTGTCTGAGCGCAGGCGTGGACTGTGTCTCAAGAAGTCCATCTTTGGATCCTAGTCTTTGGATCCTAGTCTTTGGATCCGAGTCTTTGGACCCGAGTCTTTGTTACGCTTTTCCCTAAATGTCTGAGAGATTGAGAGTATTCAAAAAGAAGATACCGGCACAATCCTTAAAGGGTAAACAAGCAGAATCCCAAGGAAGATATCCCTTTGGCTTGTCTTCTCCTCAGACTTCTTTGGTTGCAGCCATTTAATGTGGTCAACTCTGCTCAGACCACTGGAAGTAACATCAATGGATGCCTTAGAGTCAAATCTCTCATCAGGCAGCTTCTGATTTAGTCCTCCCAACTTTCCAGAACAAAAAACTTGAAATCCCAGAGGGAAGTTTGTTTGTATCCGTGCAGTCCTCTCTGTGGCAGAGTCCCGTGTGGTCATGCAGCAATGGAGCAGCAACTGACAAAGCAGTTGGGCCGACTCAGGAATGTGGGCAAGAGGGAGTCAGATTTGGACCATAATCGCAGGCAGGAGACGGGCATGTGAATATATGTGTGTGTGTATGTGTGTTTAGTCCCAGAGAGTATAGGGCTGGAGGCTGATCCGCCATCATTATGAGTAGTGTTGCAAGACTTGAGTAACCCTTCAGATCCGTAAGAGGTTTATACAGCGGTCTCTCTATCAGCTGAGTACACTGAACAATGAATGTATCCCCCAATCACGCATTAGCGAGGGGACAACAGTGCACAATAGCATTAGCTTCTTTTGGCCTCAATCCAATCTCTCCCCATATAGGTGAAGGGTTATCTTTGTAAACCCAGAGGTGGGGGGGTTACATGCGGTTTTATAAGCTCCAACACAGTTATTTATAGGTTTTTTCCTGAATAGAATATAAAGCTCATATCATTCTAATAAACAAGTATTACAGCACTTGTAATAGTGGACAAATTGCATATTTACTTCAAAGCAGGCAATTAATGAAGCAATCTGCAGTATTTTGTGTGATTCTAAATGGTTTAAGAATTCAAAACCATTTATAAGGCGAAATTATTTCAATGTAAGATGCCAAGTTTCTGATTTAAGTAGCAAGTTGATCTATTGGAAAATGTGTTATAAAATCAGTTTTCTAAGATGCATACTGTTTACAGTTTTAAACACAGACTTCAATCATTTAGAGATCCTTATATACCTATAACTTTATTATGTCTAGCTGTAAGGATTTATAGAAAACCATGGTAATCATTTTACTACTTCATTTTATGCAGATATCGTGTTGATTCTTGTCATGTGCTGAGTTTTTCAAAAAGCAATGGTCATTTATTATTTTAAGGATTACATCTTTGGATCCAATCGTGGATAGTCCTCCATCTAACTGACACACACGGTTATATGGTTCACAGAGTTCATGGCAGAATTGCAACAATGTTCTCATGTTTTTGTAGACAATAGAGAAACAAACAACGAGATGAGATTGCCCCTTACAAAATAAGAAATGCTAATCTTCAGTGCCCTAATTCCCCCTACAGATTCATGTAACAGTGTCACATGCAGAGACTTAGGGCACATTCTTTGGCAAGAAAAAGTGTTAAGTGGATAACCTCCGGGGGTCCACTGAGAAATGATGAACGGGTGGGTATTTCAGTTTGTATCACAGAGCTCTGCAAAGCCTCAGAACCTGCAGCCGTAAAGCTACTTATGACGGGTTAGGCAATTCAGATACTGTTCAGGAGGGGTTACCTTATTTTATGGACTCTCTCGGTTTGTTTGTTCCTACACTTTATTTCTAGACCATTAGATTGAAAAGAAGTATAGGTTTGCATGGGATTCTTATCTTACCTGCACTTGTCTCTGCCACCGCTTTGAAATCTTCCATCGCTCATTGTCTCCCCTGTAGAAACACATATAAACAAAGTGAGAATAAAGACCAAACACACAAGTTAAGATAAAATACTCGCCTCTATAAGAACCAGTTTACCGGGAAGACAGAGCATTTCCCTATAAAGCCGACCTGATACGGAAAGCCTGAAAGTCATTTTTGTAATGGCTTTGCAATCATGTCAAATCACGGTTGGCTTCATCCACGTTAAAGGGGAAATGCCCTGAAGGTCACATGTAAAAAAAACAGAAACACTTTCCCAGGGAGCCATTTTGTAAATGTTCATCAAAGGATCGTGATGTTTTAAAAAAAAGATTATGTTTGTGCCGTTATGGTTATATTTTCAGGAATCATTTAGTCTCTAAATGTCCTATTGATAGTGATCTAATAACAAACACGACAGAAACATGCTAACATGTGATTTGGTGAGCTAAATGCACATGAAGCAGGCACAGAGCTACATTAACAGTATTTTGTTGTTTTGTTTTTAGTCACCCAACAAATGTAATTCAGTTTTGGTCCCCGAAAGAAATGTATGGCTCTTTAGCTCCTAAATGTTATGCTTTGTTTGCAGGCTAGCTAGTTGCTAACTGTTTGTAGCCTATTTCGTTTTGTGCTTGGCAGGAAGTGTGCAGTTGGTATTTTCAGAAAACTTGTTAGTCTATTAGATAAGTGAAAAGAGAAAACTTAATGGAAATGTTTTTTTTTTAAAGTTTTAATAATTATTTAGCTTAAAAACTTCAAAGGATAAGTACAGGGAGAAGAACAAAACATTTTTCACTGATCCTCCCCTCAGCTTCACCCAGCATTATCGAACGGCCCTGATAAAACAACAAAAGAGCTAGCAGAACAATGGCCAAGCGTCAAACGTTTGATCTGTTTCCCTGCATCAATATGTTTAGATCGTCCAGCTAGGCAAGGCAGGGCGAAGCAAGGCAAGGCAAGCTTATCTATGTAGCACCTTTCAACACAAGGCAATTCAAAGGGCTTTGCAAAAAATGATAAAAACATTATGAGCATACATCTAACACAATTTGTATGGGTTAAATTTGCAGTTCAAAACACATCAAGAAAAAAGGTTGTGCCATATATCAGCTCATGCGCTATGAGCTGATATATTAACCCATACAAATTGTGTTAGATGATGACCCTGGGGACCTGTTTCCAAAGACTAGTGCTTTAAGATTTAAAAAAATAATAGCCTACAAGGATCCAGTCATTGTTACCCTGATCAACCCATAGGCTACAGGTTGGAAATTCTACCTGCTGACCTTTGAGAAGGTTCCTTTACACACAAGTTAACCCAAACTCTCTGCTCCAAAGTTTATTTTGTAATAAAACCACGTTGTACACTTTACATTTATATAATCTGTTCAATATTAATATATTATGTCATATATTTATATATATATTTGTATATATAATATCTTGTCAAATTCTACATGTATATTTTCTATTTCTATTCTCTATTTTATTTTATTTTCTTTCTATTCTTGTTTATTTCTAGGTTTGTTTTATTGTAAAATGCCTTGTCTTTCTCCAAATTGGGATCAATAAAGTACCATCTTATCTTATCTTATTTGCTTTTCTTCAATGTCCTTTAACTATAAGACAATATCCTTAACTGAGTCTTCTGCTTCAAGGATCTGCTGAAAATAAAAACATGTTCTTCCATTCTGCACAGTACCTTTCTCCGTGGGTCTTTCTTGTGGTGTCTCAAAAAAGCCGCAGACCCCTTGCGAACAGACGACGAAGGTCTCGGAAGGGGAGTCCGGAGTCTGGACCTGCTTTCCTGTGGTGAGACCCGTTGTTTCACTGTTTGTTCTCTTTTTGGTTCCTGCAATTTGTTCTCAGCTGTTCTTCTTCAAGCTCCAACTCACAACCTGCTCTGGACTTAAAGCGTAACATGGGCTCAAGGTATTAACCCAGGTTGGTTAACAGCCCGGTGAGAGAGTATTATCTTCTTCATGAATGGACATTTCTGTTTATTGAATTTCACCATGACGCGTGGTATTTGTTGCACTAAAGCCCTCTTTGTACGTTCACAAATAATCCTTCACTTTCTTAACATTATGGAATGCGTAGGGTGATTTTCTTTACTCAACGATATTTCAATCACAGTTTAGTGAAACAAGTAATTTCTCATTAAAGGGCAATGACTCTTTATTTAGAAATAATAAGCAGAAGCTGTCTGAGATGTGCTGCCATGCTAAGTTCTAATTAAGTGTCACATGAAAGCATGTAATTTCTCAGTTCTGGTTTTAGTTTAGTTAAAAGGATTAACTCGCTTGTAAAAAATGTATTGTAATTCCAGACTGATGGTGTGTTTTCGTCATTTAAAGGAATAGTTCACCATTATTCTTTTTTACTAAAAAATAAAAATGGATACCTCTCTTATATTTGATTGTTACGTAGGAAGCTTACATCAGGAAACCATTTGCTTTGCTTAGCATAACGAGGAGAGACAAGGCGGGATCTGTCCAATGGTTTACAAATCCACATAGGCCTACTGCCTGTTAAGCTCCTTTAATTTGATTTTTAATTGATGTTCTTTAGGTGGATTTTCTGAGCATTTGAAAGCCAGGCTTGTGTTCTGCCTTGTTTCTAATCATTATGCTAATACTTAAAGCGAACATGAAATTGGTAAAAGTCTGCCTATCCAACAAAAAAACAAGCTTATTTCCCAAAATGCCGGTGTCTTCCTGTATTCTTTCTGACGGAGAAGTGAAAACTAGGTTCCTCTGTCTAATGAGTGATTTTTCCTTTTAAAGTAAAGCTGCACTTTTTCACTCTTGGCAATTCTATGTAATCTAAGGACATCATTGGTGGATGACATGGTTTACGCTTACTCTTCATAAAATAGACAGACGTAAAAAAATAACAGGGATAGGAGCTGGAAGAAAATCACCACTTAAATCAAATCAAATCAAGTTTTATTTATATAGCACATTTTTAAAACGATTTTTGGTCGAGCCAAAGTGCTGTACATATAATAATTACCTTACAGTAAGGACACTATACAGTAAATACAACAGCACAGTTTGCACAGAATATCAGTATGAGAAAACGACACCCTCTGACCTAGGGCCATTTATTTATTACTCACTGTTGTCGTGTCCTTAATAAAAGTTACAGATAGAAATAGATCATTTTCATTCATTCAAAGAAAAAATTATTCCTACTGAAGAGCTAAATGTCATAAAGGTTTGCAGTTCCAGAGATTTCCTCTCCAACGGCCACACACTGTGTCGAGTCTCATCAACAGCTCTCTGTCCTGGCCCCTCCTCTGCCTCATAATCAGGATTTAAAGTAATCTTTTTCATCCAAACATGATTAATTATACCCTGCCTACACTCTATTTACGAGTCTCTACAGTAACACTTATCCATCAAAAACCAAAGCATTATGTGAAAATAGTAACAGATCATGTGGTGTAGTAACATTTCATGTTTAAAAGGCCTCTTGTATTTAAATGTTATTTATTTTTCCAGATTTGTGGAGTATCTAATGAGCTAAAATAAAAACATCTACAGCCACCTGTTGGGACATGCAAGAGATGTGAACCGACAATTTCTCCTAAACCTACCATTAAATGTATTTCAAATTGTCCACTTTATTGTGTATTCTGAACTAATTGACAGATATTGTTTGAGCTCTCAGGTCCTGGCAGTGGCATTACGAATAATCTGAAATCTAACTTGCCTTAAAATGTAGTAACCCTGGTTACGTACCAACACATAACAAAGAGCAACACTACAGCTCTCTGGTAATTGGATGATTTTAAGATCTCACGTGACTGTATGTAGGACCCTGTTCTCACAACCCTGTATGATTATTTTTTTCTAGATGACACAATAGGTGAGAAGATGATTCCTCTTGTGTTGCATTAGTTAAAAATAAAATAATAAAACACACATCAAAATGTATGTACAGTTGTTTTGCTTCTTTTTATTAATTTCTTTACGTCTCCAATGTACAGTAGTGTTATTGGAAGATAAGATGACAAAAAGGCACAAATTCACAATAAAATAAAGAAAAACAGGAGACAAGTTAACAGAAGTGAAGAGAGAGAGAAGAGAGAGAGAGAGATTTAAAAACAGTTCAGGATTGTGGAATCATTTGGTTTCATATTCTGATTATAAATCCAGGAATCTAACGACAGATATCTGAGATTGTCTCTGGTAAACCATATTCTCTCACAAGCTTATATGATGTCTCGTAGGCTCTTAAAAATTGACCTTATGTCACTATCAGTTTTCAAACAACCACAACTAAGTGTCTTGTTCTCTTTTGAGCTATAACTCCAACCCTCAAGCATCCGGTGATCTTAAAATGCAGAATGACTTTCCCTCCATCTCCATCACACACCGCAGGAGGGAAACATCTAAATTGCACAAGCTCTGACACCATCAGCTGATTTTGTGGATCAATGAACTGACCCAAGCTGCCGTTATATGTTCCTTTTCAGTGAGAGAAGCAGTTCAGAGACTGACAACAGAGGTACAACAACACCCAGAACAAAAATATATATCTATACACTGTCCTGCCAATGAGATGTGCGCTCTGTGAGGAAAGAACAACGTGAGAAGGAGAGGGGATAGTGAGGGTTTTTAAACTTCTTTTTCTCCAATTAGAAACAGAGGCTTTTCACTGTCTCTGCTTTGCTGGAGCGTCCTCAAATCTGCCGTAAAATCATCTCAATCTTTATGTCTACAGCTGACAGTATTCCACAATTTCTTATCAGCACTAAAGTTTAGAAACGATATCTCTACATTTCATCACAAAAATATCTCTGAGAGAGATACACTGGATGTATTTAGAGGATCAAGTGTCGAGAGGGTGTGCTGTAGGTCTGGCAGGACAGTCTGATCTATATATATATATATATGTGTTCATCTACATTACTTTATTTACTATTTACAAATTCAATACATACAGTACATCCACAAATCTCCATGGTTCAGTTGGTAGCCCCATCACAGACAGTGAGTGACATGCTCGATGGACACAGAGAGGTGGAAGGGGAGGACAACGAGGAGCAGTGTTTTCTTTCAAGAGGAGGCAACAGACAATATTAAGGATTGACAGGTTTATAAACTTAATACAGATACAAAAATCAGGCTGATTATTAATTATTATTCTTGATTTTTCCCATTCTGAACTGTAGAGAATGTGAACGACTGTAGAGTTGGTACAGACCAGGGCAGTTTCTCAATGTCGAGTATACCTGCTGCAGAGCCACTATTTCAAGTATACTACGTCATCGAAATAGTGAGAAACGGCCCAGTAATACAGTGATAAAATAACAAATGATTTGCCTAATAAAGACATTTTTGGGAAAGTTTTGTTTTGATAATTGTCAAATAATGTCAAATGTTTTGATAATTAGAGCCCAATGTCAAAAATCACTAAATTGCCTTGCGGGGGAAGTGACTTTGAATAATTGCCAACAAGAAGCTCTTCAAATAAAATACTCATATTGGTATGCATTTAATCAGGAAAGAAAATACTTTTTAATGTATATGAATATGTTATAATACAATTTAACAAGAACTAAATGTAAAAAACGGTTGATATTAAAATTATAAAAGCAAAAATATCTACTCTTTAAAGATCTAAATGTATTGATTGCAATAATTCAGTATTATGGATGTTACATAATCTGTTGCTTTCTCTTTAAAGTGCCCACACTGTTATAAGATCAATTGGTAAAAGATGAAAACAAAAGAAACAGACGTCAACAGGAAGAAGGTTAGGGCCTGCTGTTATCACTCCTCTAGCTCCGTTACATCCTCCCTTCTTCACCCAGCCAGCATCAGATCTCATAAAGACTACTGTACATCACTCATGCATAAACTGAAACACCACACTATCACATTTAACAGGCTTCAGATTCCAGCAGGAGAAAAAAAAAAAAATCTGCCTCATCCAAAGAGAAACAATAAATCCAGCATTTATTTAATTATTCACCAATCACTTAACCATCCTTGACTTTCAGCATCGGCTCAGTTTACTAAAACTGTTCTCAAGATGGGAAAAACCAGTAAGATATATTTGCGGTGATAAAAGGAGAGACCAACGTTTCATGGTAGTTATTGCTATCGCTGGATAAGACCATTTATCCACTGGAGGTGACAGAATGGATGACAGGGCATGAACTGAGGCGGATCACATCAAGTTTAACTTTCAGAAAACAATTTATCTATCTACAGCAAGCAGGAGGAGCTGTTTTTCATAATGTTAAAAACACAGCCATGATATCGAGTTTAGAAACTACAAGGTTTGGAAATCTAATTTACTTTGCAGAGTAAAACATTTTACTCCTATCCCTGTATACTGTGTGTGTGTGTGTGTGTGTGTGTGTGTGTGTGTGTGTGTGTGTGTGTGTGTGTGTGTGCGTGTGTGTGTGCATGCATTACTGCATGCGAGAATTACTGCATTTTCTGTTTGCACAGCCTGATGAAACTAAAGAGCTAGGAATAACCTAATGAGATAAAAAAAATTAAAAAACATGGCAGGAAAACCTTGATGACCATACAACGCTACACAACAACAAACCCACAAACCAGCAGAAAAGCCAACGAATGCCTCAACATATTACAGGAGATATTAGGTCAGGAGTATAGCAGAGACTACATAACACTCTCGGCACAATCCCAGCTTTGCAGCTGCAGTTGGTGGACTTTGCAAATTGATTTGGACAACAAAAGGAAACACTGCATGACACAAATGTGGAGATGGAGGTGTTATGAAAACGCCTCCCCCATCCAATAAAGAAAGAAAATCACAGGATCAGAACTCAACAATGAGCACAGCTTGGTCTGGAAAAACTAAACATCCTCAGACAAACTTACAGACAAATCCTTTTAAAAACCCTGTTCATATATTTATATTTATATATATTTCAATACAATTATTCAACTCCCCTATATACGGCATACTGTACATATACACCATTGGGATATTTAAAGTAGAAACAAATCCTAAATTGCAGAGATAAATGACACTATTTCCTCTGTAGCTTAGAACAGTTTAGTGACAGTAGGATCTATAGTGTCGCTACTGGAGGCCTCAGCAGGAAATAAGATGGGGACACTGGATGGAAAAACTAAAAAGAGGTGGAAAGGACTCAAGGGAGGTGGGATGGGTTGGAGGAGATCATCTGAAAACTGGGAGTTCACTGGGTCCAGGTCCCTGAAAACCAGATTGTACAGCGGGAGGGGAGTGTGTGTGTGTGTGTGTGNGGGGGGGGGGGTTGGACCGGCCGGTCAGGTGTTGTGGCAGTTGGAATATTAAGAGGAAGTGAATCCGCTGGTGTCTGGGTAGTCCGGTCTGAAACACATAGAAACAGGTAAGAATATAAACAAGAGACACCGTCTACTGTCTGAGGTGAATAAATAATTGATAATCGATCAATCATTACCAAAGAAAATCTAGATTTTAATCATTATATGATACGATTCAATGACAATCAATGCAATAAAAACGTCAGTACATATAATCATGTTGAAGAGGCCTTTATTTTTGAAATTCCCATGGCGTGTCTGCGTGGCACCTTTCTCCTGAACGTTTAAAACATTTGAGTCGCTTATTGTTTGTGTTGATATAAATGTAACTTATTGTGCTAATTTGGCATGTGATATGGTCTCATATCACTTGCAGGCCTGTCAGTTGAATCCAATTCAACTCAAAATGTGGCATCTTGTAATTTTCATCCCTAATATACAGACAGTCCAATACATATTCAGATACAAAGAGATGACACACACAACATTTTAAATTCCTCTCACCTGATGAGCAGCAGCATTCACGGTCCGACACAACCTCAGTCCTCAAGAGCCACCATCCCTTTCACTGGGTCCTTCACTCTCATCTGACGCACACAGAACAAACGACAGGTCACATTCATATTCAAACATGAGCATGTCCTCAGAGTGGGTCCTGTCTTAGGACTCTATCTTTGAATACATTTTTATTGTATAAATTAACATTTGAGTTCACCTCATCTAGCTCCTTGCGTGTCTCCTCCTCCATGCGACGAATGTCTTCCATGTTCAAGTCGATCCACTTGTCGATCCAGCAAAACAGCTGACGGTGGAAATTAGTGAACAAACGCTTCTCTTGCTGTGAAATAACACAAAAGGGAGAAAGAGAAAGTCATCTGGTTGTTTTAAAATCCTAATGATACAACCAGGCAGACTTTTCAGATGTTTAATGTCCTCCCTGCTTTACCCTGTGTGTCCACTAGAGGCTGGTGCAGCCCCATTTGTATCTGCATCATCACGGGTGGTACTTTTCCACCATTACCTCAAGCTAAGATGTGACACACTGTATGTACTGTATACGAGATGCTATGGCGCACGGACACAGTCCCTCCTCAGTAGCTGACATTCACCTGTGGCTGTCTGGATGTCATAATCAACTAAAAGTGACAAACTGGTGTGAGCCACAGCCTGAGCTAAAAACTAACCTTTTGAATAAAGCTCTCCACTTTGTTTTGCAGGCCCCACCACTTGAATTTGACAGTGACCAGTTTGTAGGCACACATGTGAGGGCAGTCTGTCTTCTTAGGAAGTTCCTTCTACAAATGCACACATAAAACAGACATTTTTTTTAAATGTTAAAAAAGATTACATAGCCAAAGGAGTAGTAAGTACAACAATATACATTGACAACACATGTCTGCCGTAGTAAGCTGATCCCTATTTAGCAGCGTTGCGTTGCTTGTGCATGAAATAATATAGGCTCAATTTTTTGAATTCAGGTTTGGCTTTAATCTTCTGCATTCACGGCAGTAACCATGATTTCAGAAATACTATGGTGTTGAATTCCCGTAATACCTTGACCTTAGTGTGATCAAAATTAAATATGGCCCTGCTTCCTTATGGTAAAATGTGTGTCTTGTATTAGGTATTAGCACTTACTAAATAATTGCTCAGACATAAGTATCTGTGCACATCAATATATAACACATATGTGGTTGGAGTTCTGTGTTCACCCATGTACCCATCTTTTTTCCAGTTAATAAAGTCACAACAAGAAGCTGTACCTTCCAGTCTGGTCCTAGAGGGCCTCGTCCCGTCTTCACTGACTTGTACCTACAAGGATCCTCCTCTGGCTTGTAGTCCTGGAGAGATGCAAGAACAACTCAAATGAACAACATGGATGAGAAGGCGACGCAAAAAGTCGATTTTAAGCAAAATTCTTACCTTCGGCTCCACTTGGGTCCTGTCAGCGATATCAAGATAGACTACATCCACCTTCTTCCAGGTTTCTGGATCCAAAGCATGAACCTGAAAGAGAAGCATAGAGAATTTATTTTTTCGAAAGTCCATAAAGAGTAGAAAGTAAAAATATACATGGGCAACACATTTATCTGGTCATTAGTGAATTCCTATTTGGAAGTTTTGCAGGCTCACTTTTCTTTTTTACATAATTATATTTATTTAAACATAGGAGCACTGTCCAAATGAATATGGGAAGCTTTAATTAGGGGCTTGTTTCAGTACATTCTGCACAAGAATTAAAAAATACATTTTTAACTAGATGACAAGTAAACAGACTGAAGCAGTGGGACATGTTTTTATTAAACTTCTAGCATTAGAGGAAATGAATAAGAAACAAAAAAACCTCCCATACAAGGTGTGAGTAACATTTGCCTTTATTTGCCTTGTGAAAGTCTTCTAAAAAACACCATAACAATTCCTCATGCATGCACCATCAAGCTTATTATGGTCTTTAATAATTACATTTTCGAGATGTCCCGTGTCCGGTTTGTGCCATGTCTCAATCTTAATCAGGAAGTTCTCTTTCATATACTCGTTCTGCAGAGAAAAGAGAAACAAGGAACAAGGAACAGTAAGTCTGTAATGTAAGCAACACAGACACTCTGTCTGACGATCCTGCTGCTGCTCTGTCAGTGACATGGATCAGATTTCTATCTCAACTTTCAGGTTAATTTGCTCCCTCTATAGGATTCAATGTTCGCTTTGTGTCGACATACTTGATATCTGTAAGTGTAAAGAAAAACTACTTACAGTGATAACTGCAGAGCCAGATGAAGGAAAGCACAGGAAAAAACAGAAAGACAAAATATTTGAGTGGAGGAACATATGAGAAATATAATAGCATTGGATCATTTACGGAGGTCGAGGGAAATCCATCAGCAATGTAAGTGTGGTGTGTGTGCTTGGTGCCTTGAAGGTCATGTGTGTTTGTATGAAATATGTCTGTCTTAAAGCTGCTAGTGTGTGTGTGAACTCAGCCTGAAAGACTCGAATGATTGTATGGCTCTTCTCACTGGACATGCAGTTAATAATTAAACTACTCCTTTAAGGTGAGAGGACACAGAGGTAGTCGGAGAACGACATCCCTTAGAACGTTCAGCATTGATGTGACTTCTAAGTTATTTAAATCAACTGTATTCACACATTACATTGCAATGAGTAAGTCAATTAATTTATTGACAGAACTCAAACCCCCAATATATCAAAAATGTAAGCTTTCAGTATATATATATCGCAGGGATGGTGGTATTGAAAATCACTCTAGATTTAAATAATTTGGGCGATGCAATGGCAGAAGTGTGTGCTACCTGTGCGACAGTATGGGTATGCGTTCCAGGCTTTCTCGTGGATGTTGAGAGCTGAAGATGGAGCCAACATTCTGACGAACGACGGCACTTTACTGCGGGACAGAAAGAACACATCAAGGTAAATATATTGTTTTGTATACTTATTGAACAATACCTGAATCAGGAATTGATTTGCAGGTACAAAGCATAGTTCAACTGCAGCTGTGTGTTAAAATGTTAAACTTAGATGTTGAACATGTTAAACGTTTACCTGCAGAAGTCATTGTGAGTAGTTAGCATGCTAACGTTAACATTTAACTTACTGTCCTAATGCTAAGCTAACCTGGCTGCTGCTGGTAAACAGAATAAAGTGGTAACAACCTTTTCGTCAAACGCAAAAAAACGTATTTCCCAAAATGTCCAACTGTTCAAGCTTAGTAGCCTGGAGTCAACTTGGGGGAGCTGAGACATTTCTAAATGTACGGGGGCCAAGAGATGCCTCTCTAGAGAGATGAAATAGTCTTCCCGAGTGAACTTTTGGGACAATTTGCTTACCTCTGCAAATGGTAGATTTTGTGTGTGTACTGTCCCTTTTCTCCATCTTTCTCGTAGGGCTCATTTTTGAGCACCTCCACTCCTTCTCCTCCACCCGTCTCATTCTTACTGGCCTCAGCCACAGAGTACAGCTGGCCGACCTGGTACTGGAAAACAGAGAAAGACAGGTTGAACTGAGACAGAAAGTGTGTTCGAAGGGAGCAATAAGAAGCCGTTTCCTTCGTCGTGTATTATCCTGTAGATGGGTAAGCTTTCACTGTCACACATTTGTATTTCATCTAATCTTTTTCAATCTAAAGGGTGGATTACTTTTACCTCTGATCCTTTAGCTGATCTCCACACTCTCCTTTCCTTGGCACTGAATCCTCGTAATCTATTTTTTTGTCTTATTGAACCGTCACTTTTTGTTGTTGCACCAAGCTTGTTACGTCCTTCCCAAATTGTACACTTTCTCTCACTTTCATCCCTCTCCAACTCTCATTCTCCATCCTCCTGGTCCCGAGTGTGCACGTTAGCGTTTAGACGCAAGACAATGGCTCCTTTCATTTCTTAATCACTTCTAATCCACCATGTAACCCCTGAACAAAGCTGGACCAGAGGGCAGACAAACGTAAGTCACAAACATGAAACCTTTGGATTTTCACAGGAGAGATTACATTTGGTTTTCTGTTCTATTGTACTTTAAAATATAACCATGAGAATATTATAGACTATGCACATCCCCAGTGAAAACCTACAATCTAGGAGCAAGAGTGGATTTGACATCGAACATTTACATTAAAGGGCCCATGTCATGCTTTTCCGGTTATTACCCGTCCCCTTGTGTGTTATGAAGTTTTTTATGCATGTAAACGGTCTGCAGAGTCACAAACCCTCAAAGTACACCCTGTAGCGAGTAAAACTCTAACACAGAGAAGACCTGTCTATGCTGCCCCAGAACGCCTCGTTGGGGATTTCTCATTTTCCATTGTTTGCTTCCTGGGTTCTGTGACGTGTGAACACTCAAATCAACAACAAATGACCGGATTGGCCCAAATGGACCAATCCGCGGAGCACTTCACACACCAGGATCCCTTGGCTAACTAACAGGGAGTCCCCATTGACTTGCATAGAGCTCCCTGAACGCTGGTAATAGACGAGTTGGGATCGCAGAGAAATGCTCTCCGCAGACCCATTCTCACAGCGTTATAAACCTTTTTCTTACTCAAAATCAAGCCACACTTATTGTTTTTACTTCGGCAGTGAGTGTTTGTGTGCTCAGGATGAGTTTAGATTGTTCTCGCTCGATCGCCGACCCGGAAACCACACCAGTAAGCCAGCTCACTGAGCAGCGAGCCCCGCAACGTCCCGACCAATCAGAGCACACTGGGCTCACAGGGAGGGAGGGGGCAGGAGCTCCAACAAGCCGTTTAGGACAGAGAGTGAATACACATACTATACAGAGATGCTGTATGAGAAACCAATGTGATTTTGGAAAATTGCAAGATATAAATCTATTCTAGTAGACCTTAACATTGGAAATGTGATCAGTAGAAATGGCCATGACATGGGACCTTTAAGTTAAAGACTCATTAGTCATGTTGAAGAAACACAATAAGTGTAAGGAGCGTGTCACTACAGTTTCTTGTAGATTTTCTTTACATCGCCCAAATCACAACTAAGTTTGACAGATGTTCTCTCTAAAGAGACCAATTATGAATGAATTTCCTCAAAACTGAGTAATAAAAAAGGGAGTTGATGTATAAACATTTTCAAATCTCCTCGTTTATCTTTTATGTGGCTTCGGGAAAGACACAAATTAAATTGGTTCAAATCAAACCAGTTTAAACTAAAGTCCTGTGGATGTAATGATACTATGTGGACAGGTGAAGTTGCTGTTCATAATGAACTTGCTCGATCTTCATTTATTACGTTGGATTGTTTGAATTTAGAAAGAAATCTAAAAGAACTTTACATGAATATTTTGGATTGCCGATTGGTTTCCTATTCAACTCCTCTGAAGCTACAATATTTACTCGAGGTTTGCAAGTGTTTTAGATGTCGTTAATTCTAGATAAATCACTATTGACTTCTATATTTCAATTAGGGGTTACTGAATTTCGACCTGATCCTGGATGTATGTGCAGAGGGCAGGATGCTTACACTTTGATCAATAGTCCCATCCTTTATTAAATGGCAACTGCTCACTGTGTTCAGAGCAACAGTGACGGACGGTTACTGTATCTTAGGTCTCTTGGATAAAAGGCCACATTTCAAAGACAGCTCATTTTGGCCATGACCTTTTGACCCTTTGTTTGCATTTTAAAAGGTTACTCCTCCACAGCAACATCAATGAAAGATAAAAACAGTGATATGTGGACAGGTGAAGCTGCTGAAAGCTGAAAAGACCAGAACTGTGCCAACTGGTTTAAATGACCTTAACATAATGTGAACACTGAGAGGTAAAAGGCATCTGAATTGAATGACTAGAACAGAGAGACTGTTGCTCAAAGTCAGCTACTACCAAATAAACAAAAGGGATGTAGTAACAGCAGAGCCTCTTGGGTCACCGTGTTGGACAAACATAATTCAACCTTGCCTTGTGAGGTGAGTGCTTATTCCGTCATACAAGAACTTCTCTGTTTGGTGAAAAATAAATAGAGATCTGATAAAGCTCCCGGGAGGAAGTTCACACACAGGAAATTCAATTTTGAATACTTTCCAAGGGTTTTCAACAGCTGGAAGAGCCCTGTTACATGTAGCGTAATCCAAACAAAACCTTTCTTCAAAGATATGAATCTGTAGTCATTCCTAGTGAAGATACAACTGCTTCTTCAATGAATCAGATTTAATCAGTGACCGTTTTGAATAGAAAGAAAATCGAATCCATAATAAATTGAACAAAACACCCCAATTGTGATTATGCAGCAAATAACTGAAGGCCGCTGCTTCAGAGAGTTGGCATGTAGCGAGGGAAACAGAGAATAAGAAGCTCTGGAGGGACAGAGGGGTCAGAAGTGGTTCATGATACAGGGGACGTTTCTCAACTGTATTCAGGCTTCTCAGCACACATTTAAGTCTAATACATCTCTTAAGGTATGTTTTCAAGCCTCTAATCATGACATAGCATGCTGACTGTCACACAACCTCAGGCCTCCTGCCTTCTTATGTAGAGATATGATTAGGATAAAGGCTACAAACACACAAAGTTAATGAGAATAACATGAGTCTGAGCTCTACAGACTGCTCGAGGACATGGAAGTATAAGACACAAAATGCATTTGCTGCAGTTGCTGTGTCTCCTGCAAACCGGTTGTTGTGTCTTTTATTTTACATTTATATTTTATTAAACATTTTCAAGACAAAAACATACGGACAAGGACATGGCTCACACACACATCACAAATAGGACAAGACAATAACATGAAAGGTGGGGGGGGTAGGGGGATTTCAGTGTCAGTTACATTTTATGTATGCATATGGCGTTGTATTTATACACGATTTGCTTCATAATTTAGATATACTTCATTGTTTCCTCATTATTATAAAACAAAAACAAACATGTATAATAGATAAATAAATAAATAGATAAATTGTCAAATAAATATATATATATATATATATACACACACATCTCTTCCTTTTCTGATTAATTCACCTATTCATCCATTTTCCATTTAATTTCACTTCTTTCATTATTACCATTCTTTTTCTGTTTCTTCAAACTCTTTGTTTCTCTTTATTTATTAATATTATTATAATTAGTATATTTATTATTGGCAGCCGAGATGGTTTGAGTCCAGAGGCCTGTACTACGAAGCCGGATTTTGGCTTAGCGAGCTAACTTCAGGGAAAACTCTTGGTTGTAACCTGGTTCTGGTCTGTGTTGCAGTAGGCGGGATCCTGGAAGGTCGCCAAAGGACCTGTGAAGGATCCCACACGGGCAACGTTTTGCAGCCTGTGTTGTGTACTTTGTTTTGGTGCTAATAAACGCCTGTGTTCAACCCAAACCCTGCTCTTTCCGTACCTCTTTGAACCCTGTGTGAGCGGAGAGGCTCACAGTATCATATATTTCCTTATCTGAGTCAGCTGAGCCGTATCTGGCCTTGCAACACTTACAGTATCACATACTGTATGCAGAAGTATTATTTTAAGCAACACATTAAGGTGACGAAACACTCGAGTCAAATGTATTTAAAGTCAGATCCATCCAGGGCCGTCCCTCCCTACAGAAGATCACGCAGGGGGCCCTCACCTCGCGGAAGGGGGGGGGGGGCCTCAACTGAGCACCTATGCGTTTATGCAGCGCAATTAGTGTGGCGCGGCACGGTTTCGCCGCTGCGAGGCTCCAGTAGCTCCCCGTCCCCAGTCAACGCTCGCGAAACAGAGGGCCTCATCATCTAACTTTGCGTGGGGCCTCAAGGATCCACTCGTGTCTTAGACGGGGCAGTGATATCATAAACCTGTTAATGTACGCATTCAAACACTTTTTAACAGCTGTATTCACCTTGCAGGTGCAACTATGTTGCTTTTATCCTGGATAAAGTGTTTAAGTCATGGATGTTTAAAGTTTAACGTCTTCATAATTTTTTGTCTAATAATATAGTTCACTTTTCATTCAGGAAGTATGACGCTGCGCTGTCAGTGCGCTTCTCCATGTTTGTGATTGGTCAAATGTTGCTAACCCCGCCCCTTTTATGTGAACGCGCACATAACTACGTTTGTTTTGGATTAAGCCGGGTAACTCAAACATATCCGGGTTATGTTGAACCGGCTTCGTCGTACAGGCCTCGGGAAAGCCCTTATCTTATCCCAAAGCCTGTTGTCTGGCTTAACCAAATATAACAGGGAGAAAGCAGCTTCTTCCATACTTAAGATGTTTAGGTAGTCCTCCAGCCATCTATTTAAATTGAAGCAGTTTGGGCTTTCTGATTTCCAGTTCATAAGAACGAGGCGTTTAGTTGAAAGGCATGCTAGGGCTATAAGTTTACTTGCAAATGTTGATGTTATGCCATTGAGCGGGGATCCCTGCAAGCATGTAGCTGGAGTTAAGAGTATGTCTATGTTCAGGATCTCAGCGAGTGTATCTCCAACTACGTCCCATAGAGATTTTACAGCCGGACAAGACCAAAGACAATGTAAAAGGGTACGCACTTCCGCACAACCATGCCAGCATAGGCCCGAGAGTGTTTGATCCATCTTTTTTAGTCTACAGGGGGTGATTTATGCTCTGTGAAGGATCTTTAACTGTATTATTCTAGACCAGACACACTTGGAGATTGATGTTGAGTTCGACCAGATTCTGTCCCACTCAACTGGGGTAAGGGTGATGCCTAAATCCTGCTCCCATCTTTTCTGTGTCTGCAGATTAGTATTGGTGGTGGAGGTGAGGAGAAGTTTATATATACCTGAAATCATTCCAGCCAATCCCAGTTAGCTTTTATCTATGTCGCTCCATAACCCCATACTATAGGGAATCTGGCATTATATGAAAGATAATATAAGTATAAATGTGTCGGTTGTCATGTTTTTGAGAACTCACGGTTGCTGAATTCTCATTATTCAAGCCGTTTATTGTGTGTAATAGGAGATAAGGTCCTTGTTGGCTAGAGGAGTCAATATTTACTTGTCGTTTATAAACAACACGAGTCAAAAGTCACCACCGAAAGTCAATTACTCTCATGCAATGCATAAATATGAGGGCAACAGCGAGAGGGGTTGCAGAGGAAGTCATGGAAGTAGTTTCAGGTTACTCATTTAAGATTCAGGCCTGGAGAGAAGAGCAAAGTGTGGAAATGAGGATAGCAGGGGACACAGAGGGAAAAGGGGACAAAGACAGTGAAAGAAGCATCTATAATATGAAGAAGACTTTTTCTTCACTGCTGCCTTTTTTATATGCAATGTTTGCGAGTTAGTGCAAAATTAGGTCTAAAATAAGATCACTTTTGAAAATGTTAAGCATAGGAATAGATGCATTTAAGTTCAAAGGCCATTTAAAAAAGAACAGTTTTAGTGATGGCAGGCCCTTCTGCTTCACTTTCATGGAGTACAGTCAACCAGAGAGTCAGATAACAAAACCTGAGCCTTGAGACACACACACTGAAATATACTGAAATACAACTTACCTCTTCCACAGAGATAGGAAGAATCACTCGACTAGAAGAGAAGGAAAGAGGAAGGACGTTACTCAAAGTCATACAGTAAAAATCTCAGACTAATTCCTTTCGAAACAGTGACGAAAACATGACATTAAGATACATATTAGCCTAAAAAAAATGGGATTGGAATTCTTCAATCCTGTTACACCTCTGGACTTAAAGGCTCAAATTAAAAACATTCCACTGGTTTCACTGTGTTTTTATGGCTTAACAGCTGTGCTACTTAATTAGTTATTTGCAGTATAATTTGACATTAATCATTATTTAATTTGATAATAATAAACTGTATATGTTAACAAGATAAGCCCGGAGAGATCCTGTGAGTGACATGGTGAGAAAATGGACCCACACTTTTATCCATTCAGCTCCCCACAAGTCTGGACACTAATTATCTGACAAACATGTGTCTCTGTCATGAAGCTGTCTCTGAAGACTCACCAGTTGAGCTGGAAAAAGCCCAAGGGAAATGTAATGAGGAAATATAAAAGCTTTACCAACACTAGCTGACAATCAAACAGCAATGGTCCTTATTGGAGGAATTTAACCTCTCACAGAGGAAATATTTTCTTCAATGTTTTTGTAGTATAAATGATAAGGCTACTTATCTATTTTTTTACACAACATGTCCTTTATTAAACATAGTGTCACGGTTGGAGAGCAGAGTACATAGGACCCACATGTAGAAGACAGTTTCTTTAAATCAAATTCCTTTATTGGCAGAGCTGGGCCAGGCAAAACAAGCCAAAACAAGGCAAAACACTGAAAAATAAACTCTCTCTGACAATAAACAGCCAAACATCATCAAGGATCTGACAACAACTGAAAGGCAAACAGAACTTAAACACCAGCCAGAATAATCACAACGACAAGACACAGGTGGGGAGGGAGGAAAAACCACAGGAGCACCAGGTGAACACAATCAGGTAATCAAACAGGAGGGAAACACAGAGACAGGAAGTAACAACACACAGGAGATAGGGGGTGAACACCTTTCAAAATAAAACAGGAAAAAAGACAGATCGTGAAACCCCAAAATAAAACACAGAAGAACACCGACAGATTGTGACACCTAGAATCATAGAATAATAATAAGGATAAGAATGTGGATTCAAAACTGAACAAAAAATCCCATTAGGTGACATTTACATATTTCACTTGGTTGCTCTAACACTGAGTCATCAGGAGATAAAAGGTGATATATTATTTTCTATTCTGAGGAGAAGATGAGAAGATGCTTCACTGAAGCAGGAAAACAGTGAGACAAAATGCAAAAACTGAGCTAAGTTAAGGAAGGAAAGTTTCTATTAAAGGTTATACCTATGAAGATATGATTTTTAATATGCTATCATTATTTATATCGACATAAGGGGCAACAATATCATCTTTTTTACATCTCTGTATTAGGGTGTGCTACCAAAAAAGGTTATTATCATTCAACTAGCCTAAATAGAGCTAAATGTTACGGTTACCTGCAATGTCTTAATGATAAATGTATTAGAAACGGTTTTTTTATGATCCGATGATACGGTAAGTGTTACATTTTAAATTACTGACGGATAAAGGGAGGTTAATGCGTTAATGTTTCATGTAATGTGAAATGTTATCTTAAATGTAAGCTAATGTAATGTTCCTGACGCATGGTATAAATTACAAAAAGTTATGAAAAGGGTTGTTTAGCTTGGTCACAATTTGACAAATATATAATAATGGGGAAAGAAACAGGCTGCTATAAGTTATTGATGTTGAGGGAGTGGGTTACTCAAAATAAGAAGGACTCAAATGTATGGTAACTTTATCTCTGCCTATTAATTGCCATCCCCAGTACTGCACACACACATACAGTATCAACATGTGAGGAAAGACTACAAAATACTATTTCTGGGGATTGTGAAACAGCTGCTGAAAACAGCAATGCCTTCTGTCTCTGACACGTGTGCACTTTGTACCACCTCACGCACATACAGTGTGCAGCTTTGTTTATTGTTTTGTAACTTTGTGATGTATGCCCAAATTCAGATAATCCTGCGTCCCATTTATCACTGAGTGTAATCTGGGTCTGAGCCGCAGCCAGACATTGGATGGGAGGCCAAATGCTGCAACCAAGGCAGAGACAATCTGTCGTGTCAAATGGCAATATTGTAGTTTTAAATACAGATCTCCCAAAATAAGTATTTCTATGTTGCTTAATTTGAGGCGAAAGCTTCTAATTTGAAAAACACACTTGAATTTACGGTTAAATAAAACAAAGATTTAAGACACCTTAATGGTTTCTCTTTTCTCTCTCTGTAAATCTCCTTGGTCTAAAGGTCTTGGCAGGAAGATCAGGTGTCTCTCTGTTGCTTCAGAAAACCCAACACCCGTTTTCTTTCCTGCATGGTTTGTCTTTTCATCTCTCTTCAAGTAAATTCAATTTCCTTTATATAGCATAATATCACACATTTGCTTCAGGGGCATTAAAGAAAACGACACACTGTCTTTTACAAATCTCTCCAAGGTTAACAAAACCTGTAATCTTTCGCTCTTATTCTCTTATTCTCTATACGTCACACTGAACATTTGCTAAGGTACCAACGTTCACCTGCAAAAGCTCATGAAATCGTAATAAAAAATGGAGCGATTTGGAGCTTCTGGAGTGATTTAGGTCAGTGGTTTAGGTGAGCAGTATGGAGTAAAAGAAACAGCCTGTCTGTACTACAGCAGCAAATGGGTTATCTCTATCCCTGTGATACCATCTCAGTGTGTGTGTGTGTTCATGTTGAAGTTTCTCATGTTTCTGTGTGTTGACAGCATGTGTAAGTGCATCCAGCATGTCATCGTGACCACATTCATTTCAAGGCAGACTGCTGAGAGCCAGACTCTCTGTAATCACCTCAGATTGTCAGCCATGCCATCACTCTCACCCTGAGCTTAGACTATAGGGACATTAATTGATTGAATTCTTATTGTGAGAAAACCAGAAAACTAAGAATGCTGATTGATGCACAGCCATTTAAGTCAGCTTCTGATCAGTTAAGCTGTTCTAGATCATTGTTATTTTTAGGTGCTGAAGCTGCCAGTAGCTCAAAATGTGTGCCAATTTATGGTAGCATAGCGCTGACCTTGCCATAGAATTGCAATAAAACAATTATCATACATGCTTCTTAAAGATTCATGTATATATATTAAATACTTTATAGAAATAGGCTGCAAAACCATCTGAAACTATACAGTAACACTTAAAACGTGGAACCAGTGATTACTTTTGTATACAGGTGGGTTGTTCTGTAAGGCAAACTGAATATAGTGTACAGGCTGACAGCATGCATAAGAGCTTGAACATGAAGGAACTAACATCCTGTGTGAACTCGAAAACAATGAATAATATTCGATTTTCTTTATTTGCCGGCCAAACTCATCCCAGTTCATCTGCAATCCACCGGCCTGTCCCTTATACTAACCACCAGCTGACTGTGAGCAGGCCTCAGTCTGTTATCCTCACAGAACACTGAGGCCTGCACATGCAACGTGTTAAAGTAACGTGCTAAACTATTCCCAAATCTTTTCGTTTGCACGAATGACGCCGCTTCGTGTGCTATCCTGTCCCTTTGGCCCAGCTGTCAAATTCTCAGAAATGTCTTGACTGGTGCGTCAAAAACCTCGCCATTTGACATTTTTTTGCCAACGCTTTGCAACCACCTCCCCTGTATGCTACCTGCTCACTCCCACCTTTTCTCCCCACCCAGGGATCCTAAACACTATCTCCATTCCTCCAGAGGTAAATGCCGGAATGCTCCATCAGTGGTTTCACCTTCACCGCGCATCAATAACATGGCCACAGCAGGCTCACGGGGATGGACGCTGGCACGGCACGGCGTGACTTATATCAGCCATTTCTCCCTCAGCTCCACTCCTCTAGAGCATCCGTCATTTTAGCACCCCAGCAAAGGACATTCATGTATCTGCTAAAGTAAAAGCCTCATGATTTCACGAGTGATGCAAAAATGTGAAGGGCACAGCCTGCACCGGCTGCTGAGGCGACCAAAGCCGCAGCTTCATGCATCTCTCGGTTTAATCGGTGAATGCATTATGGTGATGGAGTGTCATGCATGAAAAATGATGACGGACACGGAGTCCTACATATACGGTATGTCGATCACCCTGGCCTCTCTCTTGTAATTCCATTCTCGGGCAACTGGCCACAATGTCAGCGCTGCGAAACCATACGGATAAACGCACACACACACAAACACATGTACACACACACACACACACACACACTACTTACAATTCCTTTATGAGCATTTTTTTGGCGGTGCAGTATCTCCAAGAGGGGAGCAGCTCAATACAGGGTCCAGAAACAAGGGTCGATCCCTCCCTCCGTTAGTCTCTTGTATCTCCGCTTGCTTCTCTCCCACTTCTCCCCCTCTATGTCACTCTACCTCCACAGTCGCTTATTTCCCTCAGATTCACTTCCTGATCAGGACGCGGAGCGGCGTTGCTGTTGCGCGCAGTGGCCTGTGCAGAGCAGACTGAGGGAAGGAGGGTCGCCAGGGGGTGCTGTGTGGCTGTTGTGGTGGGTCTATGAGCCACCCAATTGTATATATGTTCAGTTTCTCAGATAATCATTTAAATGCTTGACAATACACATTCTGCTGATTATGGGACAGTTATGACCATGTTTCCAAAAAAAACAACCAGACTTTGGAGAATAATTGACATCGTTTTGCCATTCTTATAAAGCTATCACTAAAATTAAAAGTGATCATGAATGAGGTAGCCTATATAATAGCTTGATTGAACCCCAAAAGGACCTTGCAGGGAAAAAAAGTCTTACTTATGTTTTACAGGAGTTTTAAAACAAAAGCACCAACAATCTAAAAATAGATTTCAAAGCATGAATGAAGTATAATTATTCGACAAAGCAGAAGTCAAACACAAAATACACGAAATATATATTTATTTTAAATTTAAATTACAAACATCATAAAAACCACCAACAATCACTACATGAAATAACATACTCTCTGAGCTTTGCAGGATCGTTTTTCTTCAGTGCTTCACCCTCTGCGTCATCATCACGCCCTCTGACGTAGCAGCATAGTTATTCGAGTATAAATGCGCACGACACAGGGACCACCACCGCTGGCACAGACGCACGGTGCGTCATCTCTGTAAACCCTTCCAAACAAAGTCCCTGCATCTAATGTGATTATCTTCCTCCAGAAATGCCCAAACCCACCCCTGTCCACTATAGATATCTGCCATTGATGTTTTACATTACTCTAAATTTCAAATACATGTATGACGTGGTGTTTCGCTAAAAAAAAACGTGGAGCTCGTGCCGTCATCCTTAGACATCCACACAGGATTTTCTCGCTGCAGGTCCCTGACCACGACTTATTCCACCACCCACAGGTCTGTAAGATTGTGTTGACGCGTGATGCGATGACAGGGCATCACAGGTCCCTAATCCAGCCCCAAGTCCCGGAGATATAGGGATGTGAGTGCGTGTGTGTGAGTCTAAAATTATGTAACAGTGCACTGCTGCTGTATTTATAGCGCATCTGTATCCGTCTGCCAATATCCGCTTATCATTCCTCTGTGTTCTCTTCTGGATAGGATGCTGACCTGTTACCTCCTGAAGGCTACAATCCATCCATCGATCTATATCTATCTGTCCATCTACAGTACCTATCTGTCATACTGCTTCTGAAAGAGTATTTTGGATACCCTTCCTTAAATTGTTCAACATAACATGCTGCTCCGTATACTTTCTGAGTGACTGTATATGGCAGTGGTCTCATGTTGCCCCTTTGAACTGTGTACCTGAACAAATCACAGGGGTCTGCCAGCCAGCCAACAGTTGCTTCACCATCAGCAGCAGCAGAAGCATCAGATCTCCAGGAGCCACAGTCCCTGATGTGTGTGTGACATTGTCAGATCTATTCTCATGTGTGTAGGGGTATCAAATAATAACCATCTACTGGAGTGTTTAGTTTCAAATGTCAGAACGGAGTGCTGGCAGGTCTGGTCAAACCAAACATGTAGTGAGAGTTTACCGGGAACATCTGGTGGAAAAACTGCTCTGAATTACTCCAGTAATCTCACCTCTGAACAAGGTTCATGGGGAACATGGAGGCAGTAGACACCCTGTCCTTAAACACTGAGGTTCAAGCAAATTAGGATTTTTATATGTGGGGGATTTCTGGATAAACTTAACATAATGAAATGGTGGAATTATGCGGGAATGTGTTGATATTTTAAATGAGTCTCAAGACAACATCATTGTCTATAATCCTACAGGTGTGGTTTAAATGTGTGGAAAATTATTTTTAATGTCAGTGTGACTAAAAAATACTGCTGTTTGTTTATCAAAAGTTGAAAAAACAATTCTGTTTTAAAAGTAAATAAGGCCTAAAAATAAGGCAAACATGTTTATTTATTCAATAGTGGTGGCTCACACTGCCAATACTGGCCTCTGCTGGTTCGTAGCAGGAAAACCTATAAACTGAATCAGCAATTATTTTTTTCTTGACGCTTTTTTTGTAAAATTTCCTATAAACTCGGACTTCAAATACAGGCACAAATTGATCATTTTAAAAATCAAAAAGTGTCGCTTGTAAAATCTGAGTTCCAAATCAAAAGCTTAATTTGTTATAATAACAAGTTGCAAACTGATTTATGACTACCCAATTTAGCAGTGGCATTGTTTAGAATATTGTGTAAGGGGTAGTTTTAGAAGCAGAAAAACAATCATGCATCTATAAAAAGGGTCCTGTAGATTAAAAAACAAACGAATCGCCCCAGGCCCTAGATTACTTTGTTAATAGCTTTTTCTGTGACCCGTCAAGAATATCAAAGAAACAGCTTTGTATGGAAAGCAATGAAAAAAATAGAACAAAAAGGAAAAGATATCAACTCATCTTTATTAGTCCCCACAGCTTTTCCATTTTAAAACAGGAACACCTGCAAAACAAACATCTCTACATAATCTAGCTCTATGCGAACAACCCCGAATGGGACATAGTGACTTGTCGCATGCACAGCACATTTTAAATACATGATGAAATGTATTGTGGAAAAATGAATGTAAAATGAAATAAATACACATGTGAAAGGAGGAGGGACTATTTTTGTAGAGAGGCATCATGAGAGAAGTGCTGAAATTAGATAATGTGTGTGAAATTTAAAGAGGTTAACAGGGTATAAAGTGCTGAAAAGTAGTTAGAAATACTGACTCAAGATAAGGCATCTGAATGATAAACCTGAAGAAGAAGTGGAAAACTATTTTTACTGATATGTGTAAAAATGTTCGTCTCTCTTACATGGACGTTTATTTAAAAGGCATCCTGATAAACCTAACATAGAAAAAGAAAACTAAATAAAGCATGCAATAAAATAAATACTCTAAACATACAATAACATTTTGCATTTAGCAAAACATACCGCAGTTTGTTTAAAGTCCTTCTTACAGAATACAGCCCATAAAATACTGACATTCCTCCTATTCTCAAGTATACTCTAATGGCACATTTCCACTGCCCCGTTTAAGCGTCCCTAAGCGTCCTCGCTCAGGCCTCGGGCTGCCTCGCTGGCCGTCCGAGGCCGTGGCGCATTCACATTACAGTTTAGGACCTGGGGTAGCAACGCAGTGTAGGCGGGGCGATCGGCTTTTTTTTGGCCAATGAGATGTAGGAACGTCTTCACCTCCTCGGTCGACCACGGTGTGCTTTTCTTTGACATTTTTGTAGCTCCTCCGTTTACAAACNGAACACTTTCACATCCCGCTGGATTTTATCATCCCCAATGAGATGTAGGAACGTCTTCACCTCCTCGGTCGACCACGGTGTGCTTTTCTTTGACATTTTTGTAGCTCCTCCGTTTACAAACATGCTGTGTATAAAAATTCTGCAAGCTTGCTTCTAGATATAAACATATATCATCTTGTGATGATTCTCTCTGACCAATCAGCAGTCGAGAGTGTTGACGTCACTAGTTCAGCCCTGGCCCTGGCCTGATAGAACCACGATTTTATGGGGCCGGAAAAAAGAGGGAAAAAGTACCCGCTAGCCGGTGCTACGCTATATGGAAAGGCCACCAAACAGTGGCCTGGCCGCTTGAGGACGATTAAGGACGCTTAAACGGGGCTACCCGCTGCAGTGGAAATGCGCCATAAGCTACAGTAGTGTTTTACTATAATTAGATGCATTATTGATGAGTCTCTTTTGTATTCGCCCGAGAAACATCAACCTCTCCATGCTGTCGCTTATTGATGCCATTTAGTCCACTCTTATCTCACACCATCTCTCCAAAAAATCCAGTTGAGGAAAAGACAGGTTATGGAATTTACAATCAGGATGATTTAAAGTCAACATATACAAAAAAAAAGATTCATAAAATTGGAATCACTCACAAATAATGGTGACAACAAGCTGTCTTGTTAGTGTCACAGGGGGATATTCAGGAGATTCAAAAAAACTCCTGTTCATTTTTTCGCTCATACAGGGAAAATTAAAGCACTGTTATGTGGAACAGAGCTTCACTAATGTGCCGCTCAGAGAAGAGGGAATAAAAAGAAAAGTCAGAGGATTGGGGGGAATACAGAGGGCTTATGCCTCTTTCCTTTCACAGTCTTTCCTCTTGTTTCTTCTTTTTTCCCTCCACGTTTCACTGTCCTCCAAAGCGACTGTCCAACTGAATTGTTAGTTTGACGACATCGTCTCTTTATCTTCATGGGAATAACAGATTTGTCAGTCTGTTTGTATGTGTACTTGTTGTAGAATATGCAATTGGTTGACATTTTATATTCTAGAAGTTAAGATTTGTAGTTGTCCTTTTGCATGTGAATGTATGCACGCATTACTGGGCTGCAAATGTTTTTCAGTAAAAATCATCTGCTGTCCTTTGCTTTTCTCTAGACGTAGGCCTCGGGTATGTCGCTGCCGTTGATCCTTAAGTAGATCTTGGCGTTGTCCTCTCTCTGCAGCTGCTCTTTGTGGAGCGTCCGTCTGTACCACATCAGGTAGAGAGGCAGCAAGAAGCCCAGCATGCTGATAACAAGGAGTCCAATGTTGACCTGTGGGACAAAATCAGAATTAGCCATGCCTGAAGGTTTCATTTGTGAGAGTCTGAGAGTGTGTTTGTGTGTCCATTCATACCCAGAAGGGGTCTCCCTCCAGGGGTCCCATCATCCACAGAAACAGGGGTTGCTGCAGTAAAGAAAACACAGCACTGACCAGGGACTGCATACCCGTTAGACTGCCAAACTGAGAGGAGGGGTACCTGCAGAGACAGAAGCAAGGACATTTTGTTTTTTAGTTTAAAGCTACACCCGTATTCAGAAAAAAAAAGTGATGATGATGAATTTGTGTTTTGTGTGTGTCTGTGTGTATTATGAGACTTACACAGCAGCATAGAGGCCACCAACAGCAGAGTGAATGAATCCTCTCACCACAGTGTGTAAAACGAATGAGACAATCTGAGGAAAGAATAAATGGTATAGGGATCAATATTTATTATCTTTCAGTCAAAAGGTTGAGGAGGGTCTTTAAGGAATAGTTCAACCCTTTGCATTTGAGAGGGAGAGGAGAGGCTAGAGCCAGGTAGCTTAGCTTAGCATAAAGACAGGAAACATCTAGGACTGGTTCAAAGGTAACAGAATTTAAGTACATGCTAAGCTAAAAAAAGATGGTAGGAAAACAGATCCAGACTTGTTTCCCATTTGCTGTTACATTCACAAATTACTAAACTGAATTAAAACACTTAAAATATACAAATACTAATATTTCTAAATGTTTGCAAGTCTGAAGCACATTTGGATTTGGTGTTTCTCTGACAGTTTTTTGTATTCGGCAGTGGCGGCCGGCCCATAGGGGCGCTAGGGGCGCCGCCCCCCCTCTTCCCACATGTTTTTTTTTTTTTTTTAATGAACAAGGTAAATATTAGTTGGTATCAGTAAAATGTATAATCTACAATAATATCTCGTTCAAAATTGTTTTACGATGTCTAAAGTTACTAATAAGTCACATGTTTCCTGGCTGGCCGCAGCGTGTATCATTACCCTCTCTCGTCCGGGCGGTAGAAAGGAGCCCTCAGCCAGAGCAGCAGCAGCCAACAAGCTGAATGTTGCTATCTGTAAACTATGCCGCCGAAACATAATTTCAGCCAATCAGCGTCGTCAGATCTGATGCTCAAAGGGCGCCCTTTCAGCGCCCTGGCCTGTGTGTCTGTGAGTTGTTTGGACTCGTATCCAAGGTGACGCTACAGTAGTTGTCTGCAGGCGTAGACTCCGGTGCCAGTGGATCGCCGGAGCCGTAGATTAACATTTACATGCTTATTGTAGTTGTAATGGCAATGCCTGTGGCACCATGGAGCATATGTGTGGGCTGGACCTGTATTTTACAGGAAAGGAGTGATCAGAGGGTCGAGTTGTCGATTCTTGTTCAGTTTTCATCTTCCTCACCCTCTCAGACTTTGAGTTGCGCGCGCTGCTAAAGAGACGCGCTACCATGGAAACCAAACAATGGTGTAGCTGTATTAAAGTCACAGTGGAAACAGTCGTGAGTAAAACTGATTTTGTCAGAAATCGGTGCGAAAATCGGGGGGTTGGCAAGTATGACACACACACACACACACACACACACACACACACACACACACACACACACACACACACACACACACACACATAATGTTCGTATTTAGTCTCCTGATTTTAAATGGGAATTAAATAATTTGACTGTTCCCAAAGCACCAGTGTTCTGCAGTTTGTGTGGGCCTACTGTACTGTTGCACAGTTTAGGAAGATTCATAGCTAACCACACTGAAGATTATGGATTATCCCACTCCCCCCCCTCTAACATCACCAGAAGTCATAATTTAAGGGGTCATTTCTCACCGCCCTAGTATGGTTTGGTCACCATTTCCATAGCCCCACCAAAAATATTTTCCACCAGCCGCCACTGGTATTCGGACTTGTCGGAAACGGTATTTCGATCTCTGTCTGTACACACAAACTGAAATATTGACTATAAAGTTGACTTTGACTTTGACTAAAGTGGATCACTCACCTGTACGGGGAGATTGGGTATCAGACTGGTGATCCCAAACCCTACTAGAAGGACGTTTGTGAGGACGAAAGCTCGCAGGGCATTGGTCACCTTCTGTGTCTTTTTGTCTCTTCGCTTTTTTGTCTTCCCCCCGCTAATGGTCAAAATGAGAAAGATCAAAAGAGAAATCAGAAAATTAGGCGTGACACAGGGTTCATCTTGTGGTTCATGGAGCAGTTTCTGGACCTATACATGGAGAGAGTTCAGGAACAAGTGACTCACTTGCTGCAGGGTTCCTTTTCGTCCTCTCCTTCATCACACTCCTTTAGCTTCCAGTCCATAATCTGACCAATCACAGGAGTGGTCATCAGGCAAAGCAGCTGCATAATACCGAAGATGGAGGAGTACAGACCCACTGAGAGAGGGTAAGAATGAGGACAAAAAGGTTTAAAAAAAGAGTGCAACGAATGATAAAAAATTAGAAAAAATAAAGTTGAGGTTATCAGAGGTCATGGTTGAAATATAACTAGTTTATCAGATGTCTTCAGGACCTTGTTCTACCTGGTTAATCACTATGATGGTACAGTTAATCATTAGTCATAGGTGCTGGAGCCATGTGAAGTGAAACAACAGTGGATATGGAGAAAACAGCTTCTTAAAAGTCAATATGATGCCATTATGAGGGGATTTATGGCCAGGGGAGTAATGATAAATGAAACCGAGTCATGTGAAACTCATAGGATGAATGCTTTTTGCTGTTGCTTCGGGGAAAGCTAGTTAATGAGTAGAACAAATGGTAGTTTCAGATTAAAGCTGAATGACAGCTGAAGGACTGGGTTATTGACATGGGCAACAGGCAAGGGCAAATGAAAAAACAAACTAGCTATGAGAAAAGCAAGATATAGTGGATTTATTATTGTGATGCAAACCTACACAATTCTAGAGGTTAAGTTCTAATTATAGTCAGTTTATTAGTAACAATCTGCTAATCTACTGATACAACTATACGCTTTTAGTCTTACCGACTTCCATTCTTTCCACTGAAAATACAAATAAAACCATTGAAGTCCAGATGCATTTATGACATGAATAAGAACCATATAGCATATGTCATAAGGCAAAGAAAAAACATGATTCAAGATAAAGAAAAATCAAACAAAAACGTTTTCTAGTACATCGAAACACAAAGACATAGAGAAATACTCAAACCATAAGCAGAGCCACATACCTGTGTTGAGGTCTCCATCGCTGAGTGACTCCAGGACGCTGTTCATGGCTCCCATGTAGAACAAGAGACGGAGCTGAGTGACACACATGGTCACCAGACTGAGCATGAACATCGTGCTGGAGATGGTTTTCAAGAAGGACTGGGCTGCAGAGGAGAAATGGAAAAAACACAATTGTTAACAATACGCAATCAAGTGAGATACACAAAACAAGGGGCAAACATTGCGTTGATTTCTGAACTCTTACACTCGTCTTTGCTTTGCAGTTCCAGGTCCATGGTAGAGAGGCAGAGCTTGTTTCCGTCAGTTATGGCCAGTTCCTTCTGCTTGATGCTGTTGCTCACGCTGAGACGCCGGCCCACGGTGGTCACCTGTTTGTAGAACTGCTTCCCTGTGATTTTATGGTCGAAGCCCAGCCAGCTGAACTTAATCTTCACACTGAGAAAGCACAGGAGAAGGGGATGAAGAGGAATACGATGAGAGAAGAGGACAGTGTGAGAGGGAGGACAGAGGAGAGTCGAGTAGGAAATTGAGGAAAAGGAAAGAAAAAAGTTAATATCATAAAGAGAAAATGGTGACATTCATGAATCACTCAACTGGAAACGTGTTATGCTAAACAAGGTCTCATTTTAATTTACAAGGATTTACACAGGAGTTAATCATCAGCAGACTTTAACCTGGCAGCATTACACTGCACATCTTACATCAGTATTGGTCAAACAGTGTCAATGATGTCGAGAACTCCATATTTTAGCCTGCTGTCACTTATGTCCGACTATTTTTGTTATACTTAAACAAATAGAGACTTGCCAATGTTTAAAGGGGACCTATCATGCAAAATGCATTTTTGTACGTCTTTTATACATGAATATGTGTCCCCGGTGTTCCAGGGAACTCACCAAGTGTCAGAAAACACAACCCTCTCTATTTTCCTCCATACCCAAATCTTATAAAAAGGGGCTGCAACGGATCTGATACAGACTGATCCAGATTTGAACACTTCTATGACGTCACAGAAGTGGCGCTACGGCTATTGGGCCAACTCCACCAATCAGGAGGAGACAGCCACGGACATTGCCGTTCCAAAGCGCTGGAGACGCTGTAGTACATATGCCAGGCCTGTAGATGGTGCTGTTCTCACAGAATCAGCCCATGCAAAGACAGTGTTAAATTGAGCGAAATGAGGAATGGCTAAAATGCATGATCTGTTTGGTATTTTGAAAAATAAAAAGTATAAATATGCCTTATATAGGTATGGTCCTACACTATATTATTCAAATATAGCATGATAGGTCCCCTTTAAGTTCAATGCATAATGTTACCATAGATGGCACCTACACACAGTACAGTTGGTGACACATGTTTGCTAATGTTCTTGTTTTTAAGGGAGCGTTTATGTTGTCAACTTTCTACAGTCAATTTGATCTGTTGTACTTACTTGTAGTCCATGTCCTCTGGTGATGGGAACGGCTCCAGTGGCCAGTTCATGAAGCAGTTCAAGAAGACCAGTCCAGCACAGGCAGCCCACACCACCAGGATAGTGATGAAGGGTATGCCGAGGTCGTAGATAACCTGTGAACACAAAGGCATGACCAATCAATAGAAAAAACAGATGAGGCAACAGAAACTGCAATGCAATCAAAGGACTGCTTAGGCTTCTCAATCCACTACATTTATAAAATATAGTTGCACAGTGCATTCAAGAGTGAGGACAGCTAATGTAAAAAGCAAAATGTTGCATATAGTAAGGAAAGCAGTATGGAAAAAACAAAATCTTTACGAAAAATGGTTATCTTTGTTACCTTGACACCAGGGAAGGTGACAGCGGAGGAGGCATAGGAGCCAATCATCAGGGCGATGAAGGTGGAACGGAGGTCACCAAACATGTTAGGAAGCTAGAGGGAGGAGAGGAAAAGAGACATCGTTACAACCTGTTTATACTATACTCTAGAATTAAAGAGCTTTTAGCAGTGGTTGCAGATTGGCCTTCTATAGAGACAGTGTTTGTCCATTCTGGGCTACTTTAGAAAAAAAGACAGCGGTACAATATGGCGGTCTACGTGACAAGGACCTTCACATTATGTAGGCAAGAAGGGCCCATTCCAAGCTCATTAAAACACTCTCTTAGTTTCCGGTGATTAGGATAGTCCATTTCCGATAAATCCCCCTAAATCATTCACACTGGTGTTTCAAGTTCTTGCAGTAATTTGCAAGCAGATTATGTTTATTCCATTGTGTATGTAGGTATAAAGGTTAGGCCATCTGCTCGGCCATGAACGCAGTGGTCTCAGCTGCAGAGTGACTGCACTGAGACCAGGGACAGAATGGGGACAAATGAGGATGGCGCCGCCTACAGACACGGGGGCAGAGAGGACAGCGGGAACCAATTAACAAGCAGACATCAAAAGAAGTAAATCACAACAAAGTGACATGAAGCCTACGTAAAAACAACATGAAACAGCATCACATTACACACACAGCTGTCAAACACACAACACAAACACAGCGCTATCGAGACAGAAGGGGTGACTGAGGTGAGGTGACATTTTCTCTGTTTTTTACATGCTATGCTCCCGTTTGAGCACAGAGAAAAGAGAGCTGTGAGGAAAAACAGAGGACGCAGGAGACAGTGGGTGGAAAAACATCCAAACACAAAGGCCTCCACAGGCTGTTCGGTTTTCAAGAGACTGAACAACAACAAGCACATCCAATTACAAGACTGGGGAAGCTAAGGAAAAAAAAAATGTGCTGTGTGTGTGCTAAATTAGGCATTAAGAATGCTCATTGAAGCACCCAGTTTATATTTCCCAGCAATATCTCAAGGAGTTCTGAGAAAAAGCGATTGTTAGAGATACCGGTTTCCTTAGCAGCCTGACATCTGACATTGGCACGGAGCCAGCTGATTATTACCTAACAACTGAGAATAAATGCCTGTAGGTCTGAGGTGCAGTCATGATCAAGGACTCGAGGAACAGCATAGTGTCTAATGATTAACCCAACACTAAGACTTTTACTATATACATTATCAGGTTGTGAAGGAGACGGTATGGAAGTTGGCGGGGGGAATGTGGTTTAATGTACGGACTGTGGGAGCAAACAAAGCCCTAAATTAAGGTTTTATTACATCACTGACATTTAGGTCTAATGGGGGCTTTAGTATGATGCAACAAATACCACATAGGAGATGTACATCACAGTTACAGCCTGTGGTGGTATAGAAAAGGGGCATTTATTTGGAGATTTACTGGATAAGAGCCCCTCTCTAGTGAGCAGCATCACCATGGTACAGCACAGGACTCCCATGTTAGTCACTGTAAGGCTGAGCTGATGACAAGAGGAGGGGACAGGAAGATGAAGAACAACAATGGGGACAAGGCAAAGGAATGTTGAGGGGTTGTTTTTTCCTGGGAACCATGAAGAGCATCAGTTGTCTTAACACGTAAAGGTCTGAATCTAGGGTATGCAGGGTCTTCATGGTAAAGTGAAGAGCGTTGCAGATCCTCAATAGTTTCGACGATGTTCTTGTTAAGGCACACTAATGGATGCAGTGGAAAGTGATAATGAAACATTGAGTCACTCCCAAAGTGATCAGGAGGATTACAAGACACACACAACATGTATACACTTACTGTGAGAGAGGTGAAGGTCATACACATGCCCCCAAAGCCATTGAAAGTCAGGGCAATGAAGATAAGGACCGACAGTTCTGCAAATGAATGACAAATATGTTAGCTCATGAGTGACTTTCTCAACATCCAAACTACTGTTCATTGTTTCAAATACAGTGAAGGAAAATACACATCAGCCCGAGTACTGTTCCGGCCGACTTACCATTTGGATTGTAGGATCCATAAGCAATGAGTAGACAGGAGAATGCGAAACACATGCTGAAAATAAATGAAGAAAAGTCACAGCATTAAGTTAAATTAGCAGAAAACCTAAGTTAATTAACCTGTTTTCACATAATTACTGTAAAAAAGAAAGAACATCGAGGTTAGTTTGCATAGTTTCCGCTCTCCTTTCTTACCTGCCCAACAGTCTGAGATTGCGAGGCCCGTATTTATCCATGACGATCCCCAGGGGCAGGGTGATGGCCGAGAGCAGGAAGGAGCCCACTGTGAACGCCAGGTTCAGCATCTCATCCTGTTCTTTACAAATCAGCCAACCGTTCATTTTCAGGGGCCCATCCATAGGCACCAGGGGCCTCATCTCCACCCCGTCTCCCAGACCAACCACGCCAGCCTCATTCTCAGAGTATTCAGCATAGTCATCGGGTGCCGAAGTGGCAAGGGGAAGGGACAGATTGGAGATGGAACTGTTGCCTGTGAACAGAATGAAAATAGGTAGAGAACGAATGGTAAAATACACGTTGGAGAAAAAAAGAGCAGGGCGGGTATTGAAGTGGAAAATTGCAAGTTGTATTTACACCTACTCACTTATTCTCATAAAAGCCACCCATAATGTTTGAGAGAAGTTAATTATTCATGTTATTTAGACTAATTAGTACGTTGGAATGCAAGGGACAAAAGGTGATACGCTAGCAGTGGCAATAAACACATTATCGTCAGAACCTGCCAGGAGATCAAGGTACAGTCCAGGAGAAGTCCATGTGAGGCAGAAAGGGAAGCAGCAATTCTGCCTGGATTATAATCCCTTGTACCTTTCAGCCAGCAGACATCTTTTTTGTCACATAAGGGATGTATACGCACGAGATCCCCGTGTGAAACACCCTGACGTGCTTCCTAACTGAGTGTCAAGTCTATTACAGAAACAAAGACTTGCTGATGCTTGCTGACTTGCACATTGACTTTATTTCCTCTTTTTAATGACACTTTTAACCATAACTCATTGTTCTCGCCTCATGTATGCTTCGTCATCATTCTCTTTCTTTGTCAACCATATTTCTTACTGCCAACCCCCCCAGCGGTCTAATTGTCTACTGTTCATCACTTTTCTATCAGTCTTCACTTCCCTCCCTTCTCTTTATCAGTGGACTTTAGGCTTTTATATTACCGGTCATAAAATGTGTTCCTCTATCACATGTCACATGCTTGAAAAGCGCTGAGCTGGTGCTGCGGTCCTCTCCCTGTTATGTCATCAGAACAAGATAAGACGTCTATGGCACGAGCCAGGAAGCTCAATTATCACTAACTACACTATATTTGAATAGCCTGTAAACGTGACTCGAATTAGCTGTGAGTTATTGAAGGTTTATGGTTGAATTTTGAGCGACGCTGATTGGGTCTCAAGTTCAAGCAAGAGCAAGTTGCGCCACTTGCAGATTAAGTTGAATTGGAAGACAATGCCAGACAAGTTGTATAAACATTCTCCTACTGGACAAATCCAGGTCCAAAGGATAAGTGTGGCCTAATTCCTCTCTCACATTCCATTTTTTGCTTACTCTCTTCTTTTCAAGACCTGACTGGGGCCTTTGTGTGCATTGTGTGGCCTTTGTACTTCAAAACACAAAGCAGCTGCATGACTTTGCTCGAAGAGAGGAATACGAAGAAAAAGAGAAGACGAAGGCATGAGGGCAAAAGGACAGCCGATGCCGTCCGTCATTCGTTCGTTTATCAGATTCCTCTCATCTGCTGTGTCTTCAATTTTCTCTTTCACTTTGGGACACTTTTCCAGCCTGCATCCCTGCTCTCTTTTTAATTTAACTGATCAGGTTTAGTCTCCTGAGGCCTCAAAAAGCAACCTGGGCCCCTTTCAGATAAACACTTATTCTTTAAGGAGAATGGAAGAAGCCAAAAAGCAGCCTATTAAGTTACCTATCGTGAATAAAACCTTGCTCACTCTTTTGCCCTCAGTACTGGTGATGACACTGAATGACTGTAAGGGCAGCCCTCACTGGCATTCCACATTTAACAGCTCATTGTCTCCATATAGAAAGACAGGACACATACAAGCTCTGCACTTTAAACTCATGTAGGCAGATGCTCCAGACTGTTTGCCTTTACAAATGAAGGTTTCCTTTACTATCAAGGCACATGATGGAACAAATGACAGATAAGAAATCTGACATACTTGTTAAGAGAGAGGAATGCAAGCAGCCTGTGACTCACCTTCCTCGTTGCAAAGGTAAGAGTAGAAACCCTCTGACTTCAACATGATGAGGAGTGATCCCCATCCCAACAGCACGGCAGAGAAGAGCAGATTCTCAATGATGGCCGTCACTGCCATCCACCAGCGCCTGGCGAACGCCGTGGCCAGGGACAGATTCATGGTGGCGGTTGAGAGAGATCACAGGACGAGAGAAAAGAGGAACCAGAGGACAGCAATGTGGAGTTCCGAGAGTCCACCACCACCACAGAGGAAGGAACAGCCCGGTCTGACGCTCAGGATGAACAATCACTGATCACTTATCTGTGAAGAGAAGAGAGGAAGGGGGAGGTTTTACTGTTGCTTGTAACTTAACGACAGGAACGTTTTTATAAGCTCAAATGATACAAGCCTCTAAAGCGAACATGATATGATACTGGTTGCACACATCTGAAATGAAGAGAAAATGAAACTGTGATATCTGTTTCTTAACTTTGTGATTCATATGTCATCAGACACAGGGGAGAGCAAATGTAACTGTAACAAAATGAACTAATAGTAACAATGGCTGGTGAATGATTAACTCCTCTGCTCGTACAACGATCATTACATCACTCTGCTGCATGAACAAAGAGCTTACATCACATTAGGCACTCAAAACTTAAGAAGCATCCACTGTTGCATTACAGAGATTCAGTTGTTAGCTGGGAAAAAATACAAACTGGTCCAAACTGGACTTGAAAAGAAAAATGGGTCTCGCTCCCTGAGCCCTCACCCCATGGCCCCTTCTCTCCCCCTAACATGTCCTCTCGGGCCCATCCAACCGCAACTCTCCTCTGCAATTACTGTGGTGCATCCAAAACATAAAGGAGCAGCCAGACAAACAATAAACAAATCAGCTCAAACCTCCAACTCCCCCCCCCTCTCTCTCTCTCTCTTCTCTCTCTTCTCTTTCTCTCTCTCTCTCTCACAATACTGTACATACACACACAATCTGCTACACTATTAAGAAATAAAAAAGTTGGCTGCTGAATAATATAGATCAGCAATATAATAATGGATAGCTTGTTTCAGAATATTGGTGTTTTATTAAATTAAATAACAGTTTTCTATAATGAAATGCTTAAGTGAATCACAGGTAACATGTCTAGGCAAATCACAAACTTCCTTACCTCTCCAGGCAGCACCCTCCAGCTCCAAACCGCCTGTTGCTCTCTGGTTATCTTTGAAAAGCCACATTTATATACCCAGGCAATCCTCACATGGCGCCCCCTATTGGCCGTTGGCTGTCTGAGGTCTGCACCTCAGCCAACCAGCACTCAACAGCATTGTAAGCCTCGATGTTACTGTAACAATAAAATCTTGAATGGAGGTCAGTTGATGTGCCCTTTATAGTTTTTGCTAGTAGTTCATCAAAAAATGTTATTATTATGAATGACAGGCTTAAAAAAAACAACGTATTATCAAAGTCATTGTGCAATTGGAGGTCCGAAAACACTTTACCTGGAAAGGATTAATCAAGCCAAACAAAGTCCGGTTGAAAAACATAATGGATTTTGCAGATAGGGGAGGATGCGTCACTGCTAGCTATCAACAGTTGTCCGGATCAATGACTGCTATTGATGGAGAGGAGACAGGAGCAGTTTTAGTCGTTGTGTAAGATGTTTACTGGTGTTTACTGTGTTATGTGTGGCTTTAACCGGGAAATGATCTGCTGAGGTTGAAGTCTGTTGCATAAAAACAACAACAATGAGGAATTTGAGGAAGAGCTTCGTTTGTTTACCACAGAGCAAAATCGATTTGATTAGAAAATAACTTTAAAAAGGCAGAATTCTCAGAATTCCTGCCTCTTAAAAGACAAATATCTTCTGGTATCTTTTTTGCTTTATAAAAATAAGAGGAAGTAATATTGGGCAAGGAAAACACTTTTTTTTCTTACATGCTAAAGACCAAGCTACTACAGTTAAACGTGACATGACATTAATTAATTTATTATAAAATACACGTTTTGCAATCGTTTCTCAAAATCTTTCAGATTAAATCATTTTTGCTGCATTGACATTAACCCAGATTTGCATGTTTAACAAAATGCCTGTTGAATGTCCTTTTAAATCGAAATAATTAACATGAGCTTTTATGCTATAATGACGTTCAGTTTTTAATTTTCTATTTTTTATTTGTGCCCTCTCTTAGACAATTGTAACCACTTTTACCTGTTTGTAGGTCTGGAAGAAAGTAGATAAATCATGTTTAAGTGGGGATCGTATCATCAGTCAAAACCTGTTTTCCAGTTGGCCCACTTGCAGTGCCCTTAAACTGTAATCAATATGCAAAGAATTCATTGAGTGAGCAACAGAGACCCAATCTGATTAAACACTGATAACGTAAATTGTGCTGTGACAGTGATCAATCTCCAAGGGTCTGTGATTCAAATTCGCTTTTAATCTGCCATCCTGTTAAACTATTCATGTTAATGACCATTTGAAACAACATAGATGAACGAATCACAATGGTTGAGTATCAGCCATTAACTGATCAATGATCTCCAACTGTTGCTACAAGTGAATGTATTCACCCGGATTTGTCAGTTAGTGACACATTCATCACAAAACAGTAACACACAGATCACATAGTTAATCACTAGTGCTGTGTTTATTTCCTGCACCCAATTAAAAACTGTTAATGATATAATCAGATGCATTATATGAGGCAACAGATATGAAGGACAAGATTTAGTGAAATTTTATTAAACTACCAGTAGCTACATCACTGTATAACACTGATTTTTCATATTCTGAATATTTATATATATTCTGCCAACATCTGGAGGGTTACAATAAAGGGTTGTAAAAACATTTAAAAATATTTGAACCAAGTTTTGTATTTTCCTGTGAGCCACAGAAAAAGAAAAAAGGAGTTGTCATTGATCTCTTCTCTTGGCAACTTTTAAATTATTAACGCCACCTTGTGGTTGTTGTTGATGCTAGCACTTAAAATAAAAAAGGACACATGAGTATCAAACCACAGATAAACAAGGTGTTTATTTTGCACATTCATAAATGGATCACACTTTTGGTACAGCTATGCTTTAAAAAGTTAACATCGAACACAGTGCAACACGCCATCAAACTGCAACATAAAAACAATCCATAAATATAAAATGCTTATATAGCCTTTCTTAATTCTAAGAAATAAAATAATCCTTAACTTTATACAGGATTTTACAGCCCTTCAAATATTTCGGTTGGTCTGATAATTGCTTGATATTTACATACATAACTTCAAACACAACAGTGATTTTGTCCCTGGATATTATTTTTTGTTTGCATAAATGACCAAAGTTACACACAGCAAAGCATTGTTAGAGTCCCTTCATTATTGCAGTCCAACTACAGCCATGAGGCAGAGAGCCAGCGAGAGCAGCAGTGTCCTTAAGGAGCCTTCAGTTCCTATTGCTGCAACAGGAAACAGAACTTAAGTTCAACAGGACGCCAGATACAAGATAGCTATGTCATGATGAGTTCACGGTGAAACATTTTATGCCCATGACATCTTGCTACAGAGATTTACTGGAATATCTGTTAATTCCCAACCTCAGTAACCATCTTATCTCTGCGATTTTGCTATATTTTAGAATTCACAAATTCAGAATAACAAGCCTACCATGTTTTATAACCAACTGTTTTCAATCACAAATTCATATATATTGTTTGGTCTAATTATGGCTTAAAACGAGTTATAACTAAAACAATACATTTCCCATGGAATATCATGCTTATTTCAGTTGATATAGTCAACAAATGCTAATGTCACAGTTGACAAAAGACACATTTATTTCCCTACACCCAATACAAACTAAGCAAACATAGATAAGATTTAAAACACATTACTCATCCAATACATCACATCAGAGACAAAACAAGCCTGTCACATGCTGTTCCCTTTTCTATGTTGAACTAGAAAAGAGAATGTAATGGTTTTGCTAAAGTCTTGACTATATACAGTATCTAATATTCTAAGACCATCCCAGTTGTGTGCATGTTTTTGCCTTTTTACAACTCATGTCATCAAAACTAATGTTTAACTAGCCATTCTATTGCGTATGGGAAATGTAGATAGTACTGCATATCGTCAACAGTTCCAGACAGCCATTGATTTATTTTTATTTTGATATGAAATTATAATATTTTTGTATTCTCTGGTAAGATAAGATAAGATAGAACGTTATAGATCCTAATTTGGGAAATGTTTGTGTTGCAGCAGCATAAAAAGACCTGGCATTGTACATACAAATTAAAAGACAAGAAAGTAGAAAATATACATGTTGAATTGACAAATTAACAATAACAAGATATAAAGCAAGGTATTATATTTACATAAGTATGTGA